TTAGAAGAGGTTACAGCAGCAGAGGTCAGTGTAAATGCGATTGGTATTACCCCAGAGTTGTGGCATCTCTTCAGAAAGGTGAGAGACTCGATCAGCTGAGCCTTCTTATCCCGGAGTTTGTTAAAGGATCTTAAAGTTACGTGAAATCCTCTGCTGCTGTAAATTCTTCTAATGCGAAACGAATTATTTTCAAAACTAGCTTAGCTCTTATCCAAAATCAGACTTATACGCACCGAACTAGATCAGTTGGACAAGACACTCTACAAATCACACTTATCATTGACGGCAACAATGTCCACATTGGATTGGGAACATGTAGACAATATGACTGCCTCTTCAGCTGCTACTATGTCGACCAAATGTAAGGACAACCTGATTTCCAAATTTAACCTCCTCTTCAACAAAAGACCAGACCCACACACCAAAAATACATAAAGTAGATACACCCCTTCGTCCCATTGTCTCTATTATCAACTCCCCCATCTACAAACTGGCTCGTTTTTTGTCTGAAATCCTGCGTCCTTTCACTGGAAAAAACACCTCTGCGGTACAAAATTCTACTCACCTGGTATCGACAATCAAGGGTATTTCCCTGTCCCCAGACGACCTGCTTGTCAGTTTTTATGTAGTTTCCTTATTCACCAAGGTTCCTGTACCTGACACCATCGCAATCATTGAAGACTTGGTTCATCAAGGACTAAACACTGAGGTACCCCCCCTGGTGAGACACTGTTTAACCAATACATACTTCACTTGGAATGGAACTTTCTACAAACAAACTGAGGGCACCCCAATGGGCTCCCCCTATCTCCGGTTATAGCTAACATTTTCATGGAGAAATTTGAGACTGACCCCATCCAGACTGCCACTCTGCGCCCAACCTTATGGAAGAGGTACGTGGATGACACTTTTGTCATCTGGCCACATGGCCGGCCTGCTCTAGACCAATTCTTCGACCACATCAATTCCATACACCCAGCCATCAGATTTACCATGGAAGTCGAAAAAGATGGCAAGCTACCTTTTTTGGATGTCCTAATTAAAAAGAGACCTGATGGTTCAATGAGCCACTCTGTCTACAGGAAAGCTACCCATACGGATGCTTATCTGAAACCGGATTCCCACCACCATCCATCACAGAAGAATTCTCTCATCAAGACTCTGTATCCTAGAGCCCAATGCATATCCGACCAGGAACACATAGGCAGTGAACTCAAGCACGTACACCAAGCTCTTAAGGCTAATGGTTACTCCGACTATACAATCCGCAAAGCTATCACTCAAACCATGACGAAGGACCCTCTTGAGGAGCCTTTCAAAACCATCACTTTACCCTACATTGCGGGGATCACAAAAAGATCTCCAAAATCTTGAATAAACACAAGATCCAGGTCTGTTTCAACACATTACATAAAATCCGTGATCTGGTTCCGTCTGTAAAAGATGTGATTCCGGACATACAATACCCTGGTGTCTAAAAACTAAGTTGCCTCTGTGGTAGTAGTTACATTGGAAAAACCAAACGCCATGTCTCGGACCGCATTCGTGAACACAAAGCAGACCTTAAACACGGTAGGACCAACACCTCGGCAGTGGCAGATCATTGTTATAATTCAGTAGGCTCACATGACATTGACTTTTTCAAGACAGAGGTTCTTTGTAAGCCATCTGGCTTCCATGAGAGATTCGTTCATGAGGCTATCCACATATACAAGCACAGAGACAATTTCAACCAAGAAGATGGATTCTGGCTTAGCAATCATTGGAAAGATTTGATGAACCATTTCAGGTCTTAATTGATTGTTCACGCTTACAGTGACTTTCAGACAGCATACATTAATTTTTAGTCTCCCCCCTCCTCTTTTCAGAACATAGATGGACTAGTCCTTCTAAATAAACTGTGAAATCGCTGCGCGTGGCGCTATCGGTTTTTTTTAAATAAATAAATAAACACACCGTTTAAAAATAAGTACATTTACGCAAACCGACACACCTGATGACGACCGTTTGTGTTATGGTCGTAACGTCGTGAGAATTGTTATTGTTTTATATATATATTATTTTATTGTTTCCCTTCAACGTGACTTTACCGAAAGAACTAAGATCATGAATTACTGCAGTCACGAAAGCTTTAAATCAAAATGTATGTATGAGTGTATAAATATATTGAGAATTGTTGCCCTTATCCAGAATTTGTGTGAGTCGTGTTGACACAAAGCCTGGGGACAACTTTTATTGTTAGTTCCTAGTCCCTGTCACTGTGTGAAGTTCACACGTGGTGGTGGTGGTAGTTGTGGTGGTAGTTATGGTGGTTGTTGTGGTGATGTTGTTGTGGTGGTGCTGGTGGTGGTTGTGGTGGTTCTTCTATGGTTCTTTCGGTAAATAATATTATTTTATTCTCATTCTACGTGACTTTACCGAAAGAACCAAAGAAGATGAATCCTTGCAATCACGAAAGCTTTAGATAGAGGTTGTGGTGGTTGTTGTGGTTGTTGCGGTGGTGGTTTTGGTTGTGGATTTTGTGGTTGTTGTGGTGGTGGTTTTGGTGGTTGTTGTGGTGGTTGTTGTGGTTGTAGTTGTAGTGTTGGTTGTGGTGGTTGTTGTGTTGGTGGTGGATGTGGTGGTGGTTGTTGTGGAGGTGGTTGTGGTGCTTGTGGTGGTTGTTGTGGTGGTTGTGGTGGTTGTTGAGGTGGTGGTTGTTGTGGTTGTGGCGGTTGTTGTTGTGGTGGTTGTGGTGATTGTGGTGGTTGTGGTGGTGGTTGTGGTGGTGGTTGTGGTGGTGGTTGCTGTGGTGGTGGTTGTGGAGGTGGTTGCGGTGGTTGTTGTGGTGGTTGTGGTGCTGGTGGTGGTTGTGGTGGTTGTTGTGGTTGTTGCGGTGGTGGTTTTGGTTGTGGATTTTGTGGTTGTTGTTGTGGTGGTTATGGTGATTGTTGTGGTGGTTGTGGTGGTTGTTGTAGTCGCGGAGGTTGTTGTGGTGGTTGCTGTGGTGGTGATTGTGGAGGTTGTTGTGGTTGTAGTTGTGGTTTTGGTTGTGGTGGATGTGGAGGTGGTTGCGGTGGTTGTGGTGGTGGTGTTTGTTGTGGTGGTTGTTGTAGTGATTGTGGTGGTTGTTGTGGTGGTGGTTGTGGTTGTTGTGGCGGTTGTACTTGTTGTGGTGGTGGTTGTTGTGGCGGTTGTGGTGGTGATTGTGGTGGTTGTGATGGTGGTTGCCGTGTTGGTTGCTGTGGTGGTGGTTATGGAGGTGGTTGAGGTGGTTGTTGTGGTGGTTGTTGTTGTGATTATTGTGGTGGTTGTAGTTGTTGTGGTGGTTGTTGTGGTGGTGGTTATTGTTGTGATTCTTGTGGTGGTTGTAGTTGTTGTGGTGGTTGTTGTGGAGGTTGTTGTTGTGATTCTTGTGGTGGTTGTAGTTGTTGTGGTAGTTGTTGTGGTGGTTGTTGTTGTGATTGTGGTGGTTGTTGTGGTGGTATTTGTGGTGGTGATTGTTGTGGTGGTGGTTGTTGTGGTGGTAGTTGTGGTGGTGATTGTTGTGGTGGTTGTTGTGGTGGTGGTTATGGTGGTTGTTGTGGCGGTTGTGATTGTTGTGGTGGTTGTAGTTGCGATTGTTGTGGTGGTTGTTTTGATGGTTGTCGTGGTGGTTGTGGTGGTGGTTATGGTGTTGGTTGTGGTGGTGGTTGTTGTGGTAGTTGTGGTTGTTATTATTGTGGTGGTTGTGGTGGCGGTTGTAGAGCTGGTTGTGGTGGTGGTTGTGGTGGTGATTGTTGTGGTGGTTGTGGTTGTTGTGGTTATTGTGGTGGTTGTTGTGGTGGTTGATAGGGTGATGGTTGTTGTGGTGGTGGTGGTGGTTGTTTTGGTGGTGGTTGTGGTGGTGATTGTTGTGGTGGTTGTTGTGGCGGTAGTGGTTGTTGTGGTGGTTGTTGTTGCGATTGTTGTGGTGGGTGTTGTGGCGGTTGTGGTTGTTGTTGCGATTGTTGTGGTTGTTGTGGTTATGGTGGTTGTCGTGGTGGTTGTTGTGGTTGTTGTCGTGGTGGTTGTGGTGGTGGTTGGTGTGGTAGTTGTGGTTGTTGTTATTGTGTTGGTGGTTGTGGTGGCGAATGTGGAGCTGGTTGTGGTGGTGGTTCTGGTGTTGGTGATTGTTGTGGTGGTTGTTGTGGCGGTAGTGGTTGTTGTAGTGGTTGTTGTTGTGATTGTTGTGGTGGTTGTTGTGGCGGTTGTGGTTGTTGTTGCGATTGTTGTGGTGGTTGTTGTGGTTGTTGTGGTGGTTGTCGTAGTTGTCGTGGTTGTTGTGGTAATTGTGGTTGTTGTGGTGCTGGTTGTGGTTGTGGTGGTGATTGTTATGGTTGTTGTGGTTATTGTGGTGGTTGTTGTGGTGGTTGATAGGGTGGTTGTTGTGGTGGTGGTTGTTGTGGTGGTGGCAGTTGTGGTGGTGGTTGTGGTACTGGTTGTTATGGTTTTTGTGGTAATTGTTGTTGTAGTTATTGTGGTGGTTGTTGGTGGTGGTTGTTGTGGTGGTTGTGGTGGTAGTTGTGGTGGTGGTTGTCGTGGTGGTTGTGGTGGTGGTTGTGGTGGTGGTTGTTGTGGTGGTTGTGGTGGTTTTCGTGGTGGTTGTGGTTATTGTGGTGGTTGTTGTGGTGGTTGTTGTGTTGGTTGTGGTGGTGGTTCTGGTGGTTGTCGTGGTGGTTGTGGTTATTGTGGTGGTTGTTGTGGTGTTTGTTGTGGTGGTGGTTGTGGTGGTTGTTGTGGTGGTTATGGTGGTGGTTGTGGTGGTGGTTGTCGTGGTGGTTGTGGTGGTGGTTGTGGTGGTGGTTGTTGTGGTGGTTGTGGTGGTTGTCGTGGTGGTTGTGGTTATTGTGGTGGTTGTTGTGGTGGTGGTTTGGGGTGGTTGTCGTGGTGCTTGTGGTGGTGGTTTTTGGGGTGTGCGTGGTGACGTCACCACGTCCATGACGCAGCAACAGCAGACAAATTGAACAGCTGGGACATTGTTGGCGCCTTTTGTCGTCTCTTTATTTGTTTATTAATTTGTAGATTTAATTTGCTTGGCAGTGGCTGTGTAGATAATTTGGTCCTCGTGTTTAATTAATGAACAGCGTTGCGGGATGCAGTGAGCACGAATGACGCTGTACACAACTACATTGTTTTTGTTGTGTTCTGTATTTTTATTGTAGAATCGACGATACAAGCATTGCAACGCCACTGTCGTACGCGTACATTTATACTTTTTTAAATTGATATTGTTTTATCTCTCCCACAATCCATTACACCACTCCTCTGGCAGGGTGAATACATCCACGCTGGCTTCACACACACACAGAGCGGTAATTATTGTATCACCCCTCCCCCCATTAAGGTTGTGAGGATTGTTTACGCTCAGCCCCCCCACGTTGTGATGGAGAGCCACGCAGCCCTAGCCACCGACAGCCACCAGCTAGTCACGGGCGTGGCGCTGCGCGTGACGGTGACGAGGGTGGCGAGCGCCGTGCGTCGTGGCGTCTGCTCTCTGGGCTGTTCACGTTCACTGCTCTAAGGACGCACCACTCAGATCCACAATCCTCACTGAGTCACTCCACATCCACAGCCCAGGATGTAGGGGCTGAGTGAATGTTTGGTGAAACGAGTGCAACGGCGCCATGGAGTCGGCGCTGTAAAACGACAGCAGCCCCGCGTCCCAGTCCAGGTGGACCCCGACTCTCCGCGGAGGCTACGGCACCGACAGTGACGTCACTACCCCGCCATGCACCACTGAGAAGCTGTCGCCTTGTTTCCGTAGACACCAGGAGACGTCACTCACTCCCAGGAGGCACTCAGCACCACGCCCTCTCCGTGGGATCGTCCCGTACGCGACTCGAACCCGACACCGCCTCGCACTCCCCACGTCCACCTCCCAGTAGTGCTGACCCGACGAGAAGCTCTCAGAGCACAGCGCTTGCCGCCAGCACTCAAAGCGGTGAGGGTGATGGGGGCGACCCTGGGGGACACCGCTCCACGTCGCCGTCCTGAGATCCGAGGAAATCTGGAGGTCGTCGTGGGCTGAGTTTGTGTCCAGAGTCGGTGAGCGTCCATCTGTGGTGAGTATTAGTGTACACATAATAATATTAGTTAGTATTAGTGTACACATACTAATATTAGTTAGTATTAGTGTACACATACTAATATTAGTTAGTATAAGTGTACACATACTAATATTAGTTAATATTAGTGTACACACACTAATATTAGTTAGTCTTAGTGTACACACACTAATATTAGTTAGTATTTGTGTACACATACATTACTAGTACACGTACACATTTACTAACTCTAAACACATTTTTCTAAATGTGGACGGAAAACCTCGTGGACCAGAAGAAAAATCCACTCAACCACGGAGAGAAAATGCAGACTTCACATCGACAGGAGGCGTGAGGGTGAGGATTGAGCCGACGACCTTCTGTGTACCAGGCGAGGTAGTTAACATCTACATCGCCACCGTGGTGTATACAACAGTTCTTGTATTGGAGCGTGCACTTCACCATCTTGGTGTGTGAGTACACTGAGTCTTGTCACTCCTACAGCTCCTTACAGCTCTGCTGCTGTCCGGGTCTATGAGCATCTTTTGTAAATTAATAAACAAAGCTTTATAATAATTTCATTTTACCAGGTAAGGCCCACTGAGCTATTTAGTTGTTCATTTTTTCTCAGTGTCCTGGCCACAAATGACAGCTCAACGAAATGGCTTATCATGCTCTAAACCAGGGGTCGGGAACCTATGGCTCGCGAGCCAGATGTGGCTCTTTTGATGATTGCATATGGCTCGCAGATAAAACAAAATATTCTCACTTGTTTTAATCCATCCATCGATTTTTCACTGCGCATGTCCTGTTCAGGGCTGCAGGAGCAATTGTCCATTATTTTAATTGGATGATACTGGCCTACGTTTGCCGTTGCTGGGTAAAACAGGTAAACGCCCCCTTTTGAATCAGTCTGAGACTGCGTCTGCTCGGTCATTAGCTCAAAGCTAACCCTTCGACGAAGAAGATGGCGAAAAGAAAAAAAGACGACGAGTATCGTACATTTCAGGACGAATGGACCGAAGAATTCGCCTTTGTGGAGAGAGCGGGTTCTGCGGTGTGTCTAATTTGCAATGACAAAATTACATCGTTGAAACGGTCGAATGTAAAGCGGCACTTCGACACGCGCCACGCTACCTTTGCATCAAAATACCCTGCGGGAGACAGCAGAAAGAAAGCGTGCCAAGAGCTTCTGAGCAGGGTGCAAGCTAGCCAGCAGCAACTCCGCGTATGGACCCGGCAAGGTGACTATAATTCGGCTAGCTTTGCTGGTTCTTTAGCAATAGTGAGGAACGGAAAACCATTCACAGATGGCGAGTATGCTAAAACGTTCATGCTGGATGTAGCCAATGAACTTTTTGATGATCTTCCGAACAAAGACAAGATAATCAAACGGATACAAGACATGCCTCTGTCGGCAAGAACTGTTCATGATCGTACCATCGTGATGGCAAACAAAGTGGAGGAAACGCAAGTGAAGGACATAAATGCAGCGCCGTTCTTTTCTCTGGCTTTGGATGAGTCAACAGACGTGAGCCATTTGTCGCAGTTCAGCGTGATTGCAAGATATGCTGTTGGTGACACACTGCGCGAAGAAAGTCTTGCTGTTCTGCCATTAAAAGGGTCCACAAGAGGTGAGGATTTATTCAAGTCTTTCATGGAGTTTGCTCAAGAAAAAAGTCTACCTATGGATAAACTTCTCTCAGTGTGTACTGATGGTGCTCCGTGTATGGTGGGGAAAAACAAAGGATTTGTGGCGCTTCTCCGTGAACATGAAAATAGACCCATCCTAAGTTTCCATTGTATTATACACCAGGAGGCACTTTGTGCTCAGATGTGTGACAGGCAGTTTGGCGAAGTGATGTCGCTGGTCATTCGTGTGATCAACTTTATTGTTGCCCGAGCCTTAAATGATCGCCAGTTTAAAACACTGCTGGATGAAGTTGTAAATAACTATCCTGGTCTGCTTTTGCACAGCAATGTGCGTTGGTTGTCAAGAGGGAAGGTGCTTAGCCGTTTTGCGGCTTGCCTGAACGAAATCCGGACTTTCCTTGAAATGAAAGGCGTCGGGCATCCTGAGCTAGCCGACACCGAGTGGCTCCTCAAGTTTTACTATCTCGTAGATCTGACTGAACATCTGAACCAGCTCAACGTGAAAATGCAAGGCATTGGAAATAGTGTTATCCCTTCAACAAGCTGTATTTGCTTTTGAAAACGAGCTGGAGCTTTTCATCACGGATCTTGAAACAGGTCGTTTACTACATTTTGAAAAACTGAGCCAATTTAAAGATGCATGCACAGCAAGTGAGCCCATTCAAAACCTTGATCTCCACCAGCTAGCTGGCTGCACATCCAGTCTCCTACAGTCCTTCAAAGCACGCTTTGGAGAATTTCGTGAGCACACTCGTCTTTTTAAGTTCATCACCCATCCAAACGAGTGTTCACTGAACACAGCCGACCTGAATTACATCCCTGGTGTCTCCGTCAGAGATTTTGAAGCAGAAGTGGCTGACCTGAAGGCCTCAGACATGTGGGTGAATAAGTTCAAGTCACTGAATGAAGATTTGGAAAGAATCACACGACAGAAAGCGGAGTTGGCGAGCAAGCACATGTGGACAGAAATGAAAAAACTCCAACCCGAAGACCAGCTGATTCTCAAAACTTGGAACGCGCTTCCTGTCACATACCACACACTGCAGCGTGTGAGTATTGCTGTATTGACCATGTTTGGATCTACGTATGCATGTGAGCAGTCATTCTCACATCTTAAAAAACATCAAGTCCAACCTAGGATCACGTTTAACGGATGAAAGCCTCAACGCTTGCATGAAGCTTAACCTCACCAAGTACCAACCCGACTACAAAGACATCAGCAAATCCATGCAGCACCAGAAGTCGCATTAATGGTGAGTGTTATAACAACATTATTTAAAAGAATAAATTCAGAGGCTTATTATACTGACATTTAGTTGAATTCACTTTTAAAATATATTATATGGCTCTCACTGAAATAAATTTCCAAATTTTTTGCTTTCATGGCTCTCTTAGTCAAAAAGGTTCCCGACCCCTGCTCTAAACGTTAGATGTTGATTCTAAATGTAGAGGGGAAAACCGGATGACCCAGAGAAAAACTTACGCCACCACCACGAGGAGAGAGAGAGAGAGATGCAGCCGGGATTGGTAGGGTTGGAATCGAACCCACGACCTCCTGTATGTCAAGTGAAGTCGTGAACATCTCGCCACCGTGGCGCCCATTCTCTAAGCTCTGGAGCATCATTTTAAGAATGATGGTCCAGCATCTAGCAATAAAGAGCCCATTTAGAGTTGCAATTGATCATTAATGCATGTCTTGAAGTCGGCAAGGTGATAATAATAACTGGCTGTGAAGGCTGCCTGGGTGATGAATATTCTATTGCATTCAGTCTCCACCCTGCCCTTCTTTGTATTTCAGTGGTTTTATCCCAGTCCTTTTCTGACTCCCCACACTCTGCTCTGTGAGAGTTATGCCCCTACAATAATCGCTCTACCTTCATGGGACCTCCCTTGCCACTATCAATATAATAATTGTTTTTTTGTTTGCATGTTCACCACAAGTATATGTGGTTAATGCTGACATGATTCCTTGCAAAAGGTTTCATTTTTGTGTTTTAACATCTTAACACAAACTGTTTTATTGCCAGAAAGGGTCAAATATATTTTTATAACAGTACCTTGTTTAGAACACCTGCAGGGCGCAACGTGTTCGGCTCACATCAGCCCTGAGTCCAACTCGGCAGCCAGCACCGTCACCCTCCTCTGCTCCCCACTACACCCCACGTGACAGAATGGGTGCCCGTCTGAGGGTGCCCTACGGCCAGCGGCGTCGACATTCAACTCAGAGTCTCTGCACGGCGATTGATCTCCCTAGACCAGCGGTCTGCAACCTGCGGCTCTCCTTAAGGGACCGCTTCGTGATGTTATTTATCAAGGTCACCACCGTCTCGTGTTCACCTCGTGCATTGTGGTGGCTTTTGAAATATCGAGTTGTCTTTTTTATATACTGGATTCAAACGAAATTCTCTTATTGTTATTTTGGCTACCGACCCCTGGCTTAGACGGCCACCGTGCTGCTCTCAAGGAACACCCTGTCCGCTGCGTGATGCACCTCTTGATACACCAAGGCTCTCCTTGTTATCACCTCGGTGACCGCGTTTATCGCTGAATCCACCTCACGTCTCCCCCTCCCAAGTTGGCAAGTGCCGTGCACTATCGCCTGGCTTAAATACACGACACAGGCCTGCCTCGTGGTGCTGATCTTGTGTTTGTAGCGAATGGGGCTGCAGCCATAAGTGAAGCAGAGAGACTTACACACAACAGCCAGGAGATTCGTTCGGATGCCTCCCACTGAGATGACTTTTGCGAGGTTAAGACCGTGGGAGACAGGGGCTGGGTCATCCTGAGTCTCCTGAGAGACGGAGCTCCTTCTGCACCCATAGCACAGGGCACATACAGAGTCTAATGAGGGTCCATGTCTCTCTACACTCACAGCACAAGACTCACAGTCTAATGAGGGTCCATGTCTCTCTACAAATGGACAAAACAGGCAGCCCTCGACATAAGAACGTCCATACTTACAAACCAGCTTCCATGAAATAAAAAAAATAACTTTGACTTAAACTGCAAACTCGCAGTTGCAAATTGAACATTATAACTATTTTGTTCAGAGGAGCAATCCTCCGCGAGATGTAATGAGTCGGCCTCGTGCTGGGAGTGTTTACGTATGTACGGACATTGTTTGTGTGTGAAAGTGTGGGGGGTACAGCTGGTGCATCTCCCAGTCATCTAAGTCAAAGCCAACCCATGGCACCTGGGTCTGTCTCGAGACCTGCTGTCAGCGAGCCTTCGACATTTCACGTGGCCTCAAAGTGCACCTGGCCTTGAACAGGCGCCATGGTGACGTCACCGTCACTTAGTGGTGAATGTTGAGTATTGGTATTGGTGTGGGGAGCGGTAGTGTAGCGGTGAGTGCGCTACGCTACGAAAGCGACGACCTGAGTTTGAGTCTTGCTCACGGCCAACACCAGTACCTGGTGTGATGCGTGAACATCGCCACCGGGGAGACAAAAGCAGCGGGCCGTGACGCTGGCCACCCGCCCCCTCGTGTGCCACAGTGGCGGCCATCTTGGGCACTGCTCGCTGAGAGAACTTGCCCCAAGCAGCCTGTGAAGGCTACACGGGGGATTGTTGTCGTTGGGGTGTCTTTGTGTGTGCATGCGTGCCCTGTTTGTTGTGGTGACTCATTGCCCCCCTATCGACTACAGGCGAGCATCAATGTAAGTGAAATAAAGTTTGCTTTTTATTTATGTTATTTTATGTTTAATTTACTATGCAGTAAAATGTTTACAGTGTTAGATTACAAATGTACAACATTTATTCTTAATTATTAGTTTAACAATGCTTCCCTCTGTTGAACCGTAACACATTTTACAACCGTGTTGGGATTTAATTACGGTGCATTATTGTTTTCCGACTTACGAACGAGTCTCATGAATAAATTATGTGCGTAACCCGAGGACTGCCTGTATGGGATACAATTGACCATATGGGTTACAACTGCATAAATGGGTTTATTAGGAATCACATCACGACCGTTCGCTGATTTGTCCACCAGGTGGCAGACTGAGCTCGAGGTTGAGTCTGGGTTGGTACTGACCTGAGACTCTAATGCAGGGGATCCTGAAAAACACAAACCCGCATTTCACATTAACATTGAAATCTTAAACAGATGCCCCACCTCCACACAGTCACCTGCCGCTTATGGTGGAGTGCGACATCAGGGAATTAGTAAATATCTGCAAACGGAGAATGATGAAAAACAGGGTTCATTTATCTGGACAAGAACGGACGTCTAAAAAAGACAAAACCACTCTATACAGGTCTAGTTCAGCACCTACATGAGTGGTTTAATAACAACTCATGTGTTGAACTCTGAATAAACTGAAGTTTTTAAAAATGTTACCAGGTAAATCCCACTGAGCTATGTCACTCGTTTTCAAAAGCAACCTGGCTATCACAAATGACAGCTCAACTTTTTGGCGTATCACGTTGGATTTTATAGTAGCTGCCTAATACTCTGAATGCTGATTATGAATATGGAAGAAAAAAAACAGAGGACCCGGAGAAAAATCTATGGGACCATGGGGGGAGAGAGAGAGAAAAACGCAAACTCTAAATTTACAGCAGGCATCGTCAGGGTCGGGGTCAAACCCACGACCTCCTCCATACCAGGCGAGGTAGTTAACATCTCCTAGCCACCGCGGCGAGTGAATGGAGGTGGTGCCACCTGCAGGAAGGAGAGCGGGTCCTGTACAGCGAGGGCGGCGAGCAGCTGGTTGAACTCCTGCTCCAGGCCACGTGCTCTGCTCTCGTAGCGAGCGATGTCCGCCTGGATGCGGGACAGCACGGAGCGGCCCTCCTCGTCCACGCACTCCAGCGCCTCCCTCTCCTCCTTCAGCTGCTCCCTCCGGCGCTCAAACTCTCGGCTGATCCGCGCCTTGGTGCCACGCAGAGACTCCTACACAGTGATATGATTACGCATTATTGAAACGCAACACGACAGTGCGATGTGACGTCATAAAGGACTTCGATACGGCCACGTCTCATAACTCCATACAAAGAGGCGGGTGACTTAATTTTTGAGAACGTCGAGTAATTAAATGCATGAAAGGAGGAGATTTAGTGAGGATATTCATGGGTACTCAAGCCAAATGCTAAGTACCCATATAGTTCCGTGTCTCTCTGTACCTGCATGTGTCTGTGTCTCTCTGTACCTGCACGTGTCTGTGTGTCTCTTTGTACCTGCACGTGTCTGTGTGTCTTTCTGTACCTGCCCGTGTCTGTGTGTCTCTCTGTACCTGCACGTGTCTGTGTGTATCTCTCTGTACCTGCACGTGTCTATGTGTCTCTCTCTACCTGCCCGTGTCTGTGTGTCTCTCTGTACCTGCGCGTGTCTGTGTGTCTCTCTGTACCTGTGTAGTGTTGCTCCGGAGACACTTCGTAGGGGGGCACGTCTTTATTATCCACACGTACCCTAACTACTATACATCAATTCTTCATACAGTTGATCTTGAGGACCTCTTCCACTTGGTACATTATACGCCTCCTGTGTAGCGTGCCTAACCCGACTATGCTCCAGGTCCTCCGGTTATAATATACTATGTGAGACTGCCTGACCTGACCCAGCCAAGGTACAGGTCCAACACTGACCTCACAGAGCTTCGGCCCTTAAAAGGACGGCGAATCTAGGGGTTCAGAGTCCTACTCTAGCAGCGCCTTCTTTTTTCAACTGGTTATCTTCAACTGCTCCGGTTTCCAACTGCTTCCGTTTCCAACTGCTTCGGTTTTTAAACTGCCTGGACCTCTCCAGAGGTTCGCCTTATATCCGTTTCTCAGCCGAGGTGCGGACCACAGTGAGGGACGTGGGTGACCCCACTGAGGTCCGCATGTCTGCCGTTGCAGGTCAGTGCAGCTGCAGCCCCCCAACCTTTGGGAGTGTTTGCGAGGGTCGTAGAATCCTCGCAGCCCCCCAACTGCTTCAGGGCTGCCTGTCATTGCCTGCAAGTGCAGCCCATCCATGGCGCTACACCTGCACGTGTCTGTGTGTCTCTCGGCACCTGCACGTGTCTGTGTGTCTCTCTGTATATGCACATGTCTGTGTGTCTCTCTCTACCTGCACGTGTCTGTGTGTTTCTCTCTACCTGCATGTGTCTGTGTGTCTCTCTGTACCTGCACGTGTCTGTGTGTCTGTACCTGCACGTGTCTGTGTGTCTCTGTACCTGCACGTGTCTGTGTGTCTCTGTACCTGCACGTGTCTATGTGTCTCTCTGTACCTGCACGCGCTTGTAGGCACGCTTGAGCTTCTGTTTCCGTGATTCTGCTGCAGTCCTCTTCTTCTGTCTCCCCGTCTTCTCGAGTCTGAACGCCTCCTATACACGGGGTAGACAAATACATGATGTTTGGTACTCCCATCATTATCATCATCTGGCCCATGTCTTTAACCCAGATCCTTGCAGGCAGGTTTTCTGGATAGCCCAGCGATAATCATTGCCATTTGAAATGTCGAACCTCCCAGGCTGTGAGGTGGCCATTACGAGGTAGCACAACATCCGTGTCTGAGGTAGGTGGCTGGATCACAGCGAGGTGTATTGAGGAGTCCCCACTCCCACGCTCGTGTTTTCTCAAGTTTTTCCCAACAATGGAATCTCGCGGAACCGACAACCATAACCCCCCGAGATATCTACAGCACACACTTTGCGTGACAGTGCGGTAAACACCAAAACTTAAATCCGAAATATTACAGAAAACCAAGCTGAGTGCCAGAGCGGTATTAGGGTACAGACAGCTCTGGTGCTGATAGGGCTGCTGCTCGAGTGTGTTGGGACAAGTTGGACAGGACTTAGGGGAGGGGAGAGCCATGTGACCAGGTTCGCAGCACGCTAACCACTACACCACCGCTCCCCAAAGCAGGAACAACTGCACACTCATATCACAGTTTAAACATTCCTAGAAATGCAGTGTATGTGATAATAGTAATTTAAGGAATATTGCTACAAGTAAATATATGCAGGTCAAGTTTAACAAGTAGGCTTTGGCGACCAATATTCTTATTTTTGGGTTAGGTCGTGTAAATAGAAATGTGTTGTTAAACCCGCAACCACCCGACTCAGTCAATTAGTAAGGTTAATCACGTAAACACAACGTGCCATATTCTTAGTTCTTTCGGTAAAGTCACGTTGAAGGGAAACAACAAAATAATAAAATATATATAAAACAATAAAAATTCTCACGACGTTTCGACCATAACACAAACAGTCGTCTTCAGGTGTGTTGGTTTGCATACATTTATTTTTAAACGGTGTATTTATTTATAAAAAAACGTTAGCGCCACGCGCAGCGATTTGGCAGTTTATTTAGGACTAGTCCATCTATATTCTGAAAAGAGGAGGGGGGAGACGATTTTTTTAATGTATGCTGTCTGAAAGCCACTGTAAGCGTGAACAATCAATTAAGACCTGAAATGGTTTATCACATCTTTCCAATGATTGCTAAGATAGAATCCATCTTCTCGTGCCAATTAGTGACTAGTTCAGCACCACCGGTGTGTAAGAAAATAAATCCTCAACATTTACAATTAGTGACTAGTTCAGCACCACCGGTGTGTTGGAAAGTAAACCCACAATATTTACAATTCGAGGACCATGACGTTTTGCCTCACTACTAATTACAACCAGCATCATCAGGCGACAGCCAGAATTGAATACGCAGAGTAACATTGTCAGTAGTAGGAAACACAATAATGTCAATTTTAACACTGTCATATTAACACTATAACGATAGAGGAATAATACCAGCAGCAATAACGGCAACAGCAAACACATCCATAGTCATGATGATGATGACTATTGACTTGAATATCCTTTATTGTGATGTTTGACTTAAGCTGTCCCCCATTTGATTGCCTCTGGCAGGGCCAGACACTGGCAGGATTAAGCGCTGTGAACGTGGAACTCTGCCCACGCCAAGTTCGCCCAGTCTGCTCGCCGTGTGCCCTTAGTCCCGCACTCTGTTGCCCCATTTCACCTGCCCATAAAAACGTGGCAGGCTAAACGCTCTGGTGGTTGGCCAAGCTTCACCGTGGCAGCGCTCAACCACAATCCACTGTTCTGTCACTAAATGCAAATACACGGCGTCTATGTTAGAGGCAGGGTGGCATTTTAGACATCCAACATTTTGCAACAAAATAAAATCTAAATCTGCCCTATGGACTGGCGGCCTGCCTCTACCACTGGAATGTCTCACGTTTGAGGTATTTCGCGTTAGTCCACTGTTGTATATATAGGTGTTATGAAAATTGATGAAAATAATGAAAATTAAATGAAATTTGAGATTTGCATAATTTATCCGAAATTATGTTAATCAGTGTAATTATGCGCATAAATTATGCTGATTCGAGAGATAATCGTATTGATTTATGCGAGTGGGCGTGGTTATGATAATGCCGGTCGTTATGGATTATCAGGTCGAGCCTCGGTGACGAGGATTGTGTTATGAATTGGAATAACGCAATTAATCGTATGCAGTGACGCAGGCGTTGTGAGCGTGAATGAGAGAGAGACGATTCGACTCTGCTCTTCAATTCCGTATTATCGATAAGGATGCGATTACTCTCGATTGAACATTACGGATTATGTGTGTTATGGATCATGTGGTGATAGTGTGCTTATGATAGGTCCCCAGGATTCAGATCTCATACGCAGAACAATATTATGCAGAATTTCAGGAAGAATCACACACAAACCTTCTGCTTTAATCAATTTTATTTCTAGCTAACTTTAATTTTTGGATAATATGAAAAACTCAATCTCGGGATTTTGGAATTTCAACACAGCGTTAACATGATACCATCACGATTGCGTTGTTTCACCTCGATAGCGGCACCTGTGGTTAATTCCCGACGCGTAACGCAATCGATCGGTTGTTGAGAGAGAGATTAAAAACATGCGAACTATTCTATCAAACCTTAACTTTATAATATGCAAACTCGTATGCTTGAATTGTTACACAACACGGCACTTGGTCTTTGATTCGTATCCAATCCTTAATACATTCTGATATGCGAAGTTATTATGCTTGAAATCGTCAGCACAGTACCACGTTGATGTTCGTTCATTGATTCATAACGATTATGAATTTAAAGCGTTCGACTGTAATACTTCTAATTGCCTTATCAACACCACTCGATGGCCACAATGCTTCGTTACTTGAATTGTCACACAAACAGCATTCGGTCACTGATCATGCGCGGCCCTTAATGCAATTATTGTCACGTTGTTAACAATAGGATGACTGATTATTATGCAACGCTGCTCGTTGACAGGGCACTCCAACCAGTATTATTCTTGGAGGCACAAATATGCGTTTGAATTCGTTATTTCATTCGTGGATACCGGCAAGATTATGCAGAAAGACAAATATTAACGAACGACTCGAGTATTCCTAATCAACTTCTCAACGCGACTCAATGGGTGGCGATGTTTCCTTTTGAGATCCTTATCTCGGGCCAATCTTTTAATTGATTGTGGCCAGACCCCTGACAGGGAACCGGTTGAACCCGCTCTTCAACCCCGCGAGCGGCGCTCCGTGGTGAGGTGCCAAGAATTAATCCTTGTTAATGGGTCAGTTGGTAATTTATGCGGTTAGAAGTACAGCCCCAGCACAATATTACAGAGGAAAATTATGAACACTCTTAAAAACGATGGATTATTCACTCGGTCGTTGCGATGTTTCCACAATCACGGATGGTTCAATGGCTTGAGGTTTTTTAGGCTTTGTTAATGACCCGTGTGTGTGTGTGTTGAATGGTGTGAGTGGTGAAAGAGTAGGCCAATGTTCGGAATCGATTCTTTGCGTCAAGCAGACGTCTTGTTTGTCGTGTAGTGGGGGGCAGTGTATCATACGTATCAGTTGATTCTTCTTTCAGTAGTTGGTTCGGACTCGACGGACGTTGGTGAACGAGTAGATGCGTTGTTGTAGCTGAGATGACCGTCTGGTAGACGGCGTTAGAAGCACGCCCGCAGCGGCGCGCTGGTGCTCCGTCGTCGGCGGTTGTAGATTGCAGGCTCACGATTCGCTCGTGGTGGCGCTGGTGCTGGTGGCACGCTGGTGGCGCGCTGTTGGTACGCGCTGGTGCTGATGCTGGTGCTGATGGCACGCTGGTGGCGCGCGCTCCCTCTCCTTGAAGATGCACGAACGCGCCCGTGCTGGTTCGCTGACAGCAGTTTCTCTCCACTGCTGGCTGAGCTGCTGCACGCTCTTGCTTGGCGTTGCTGGCCGCGCTCTTTCTCCTTGAAGATGCGCGAACGCGCCCGTGCTGGTTCGCTGACAGCAGTTTCCTCCACTGCTGGATGAGCTACGCCGGCGCGCGCTCTTTCCGCTGCTGTAGTAGCTGACGCTGCGCTCGCGAGCGACAGGTCAAGTTTTTCTTCTGCTGAGTTGAGTTGAGATGAGTCTTCTTCTGTTGAGCTGAGTTGAGATGAGTCTTCTTCTGTTGAGCTGCCCCCGAGGGCTGATGAGTTTTCTTCTGTTGAGATGAGTTGAGTTCAATGCTGTCGCACGCCACCAGGATTAGTACACAACACGAGTTTCCGTGCTCGACTGTTGGGGTCATTTGCCTTCTCCGCAGCCATGTGCAGATTTGCTGACTCCGTACCACGATCCGATTCCGTGCCTCGATTCGATTCCATGTTTTTGCGTGTGCTGGATTTCCACACATTCCCCAATCCATCATGGATTTTTGTCTCCGTAACGCGTTTCCCTGGCACTTTTACTGTACTCTCACGCAATTTTGCGACACAATTGATCGCGTTTCCATTTACCAAACAAGCATGTTTCTCCTCCCGATCCTGTTGGTTATCATTTCCTGTTAGATCACGCTTCATGGTTAATTTTCCTTGTTCAATAGGTGGGTTCACCACGGGAGCGACTCTCGCGTTCCCTACCACATCAAAGCGTGTGCATGGCGCTTTTAGTTTTCCACAATCATGGTTCCCCTCCTGGTTCTGTTTGTAACCTCCAGCCTGCTTGATTTTTTCCAAGGGCTGTGATTTTTTTTTCAGATCAGCGGACACCTCTTTCCCTGTCATTTTCCTCTCAACCAGTGTGAGCGATTTATCACGTGCCCATGTCACCCTCTTTGTTACAGCCAAGCCATGTGTGCCCCTTGTGTATCGTGGAATGGGAAATCGGCGTGATTCTGCTCTTGGCCTATACACGCCGTGATTCTCGCGATTATGTGTCTTTGTGTGTCGTGGCCGCCCATTCTCTATGTGCCACTGTCGACCGTAATTGTTATCTCGCCATCTGTGTGGGTAATTTTGGCCGGCTGTGTGCCGCTGCATTGGGTGAAGATATGGTCCTGCTCTTTGCTTCCACCCGTGGCGATTGTCGCAAATACGCGTCTCTGCACGCTGCGAACGCTCCCGGCCTGTGTGCCGTGGAATTGAGCACTGGTCTGACTTTGCTCGTGGTCTCCACACGTTGCGATTCTCGCAAATACGCGTCCCTGCATGCTGCGATCGCTCCTGGTCTGCGTGCCATTGTCTCGTGTAATTGTTATTTGACCACCCGTGTATGTAATTATGTTGGTAATCCGTGGGTGCTTTTTGTTTTCTGCACTGTGGGCCTGCGTGCATCAAATGCCTCACATGTTTTTTATTTTCCTCTGATAGGCTGGTTGCCTTGTCCCGTTCACTGTGTGCTGTGAAATCATTGTTTTTAGCCCGGTACAGCCAAGCCATGTGTGCCCGATCCACTATGTGGTCTAAGGAGGCTGTCTCTGGATTCAAGACCATTCCCACAATTTCTGTAATCTCTGGACTCAAAGATCCAAAAAACATAATTTTGAACCTTTTGTCACCTTCGTGATACTGATCCACATCGCCCGCATAGTACGCTCTTTTAAATCGCATGAGGTAATCCCGGGGTTCCTCGTCTGCACACTGGGTCATAGATTTTGCAGCGTTAAATCCCTCAGACATTGTTGAATATTCTCCAAACTTCCGAATCACTGCCAGGCTCAGCTTTTTAAAATCGTTCCGAACCTCGTATGGTAGCGATTTTACCCATGATATGGACTGTCCATGCAAGCTGCGTTTCAGCAAACTCGCTTTTTCATCCGTTTTCCTCAGACCCCTGATCATTGCTTCTGCTTCTACCGTTGCGATGTGAGTGTGAATGTCCCTGTTCTTATTGTGTGGATCAAAATAGGGAATTCTGACGAGAGCTTTGTCCATCAATTTCAGAGTGTTACTACTGAACGAGTATTCGGAAAGTTGATCATCGTCATCCGAGTCAGATTCGGATGAGTCATTAACATCACGGTGGCGTTGCTTAACATGATTTTTGTAGTGTATTTTGCGCCTGTAACGTGGGTCAACTTTGCTCGGTGACTCATGTTTGTCCCATGGCTCATACTTATGTGGTTTTTGTGGGGTGTTTGATTTATATTTGTCTGGTGCGTCGTGCCTGTCGCGATGTTTGTGTCGGCCGTCTGTGCGTGGTGCGCGTTTTCCTGGAGAGTTGCCTCGGAGCTTCGGCTCCGCCCTTTCTCGCGTTATTAGTACAGAATCTCCTGGTGATTTAGTTTTAATATTCTGTCTCACTCTGACTTCGGGGTTATCAGTCCCACCTGTTTCTTTTCCGAAATTTTCCTCCTCCCATAATCTCTGTTTGTCTGTCTGTGCGAGAGGGTCTGAGTTCAGCGTAGCTATTCCTGATGTTTTTACATCGTGTTCGCTTTTCTCCCATTTTATCCAGTTCTTAAGCAGTGTCCCAATGTCATCAATACAGCTCCCCTTCCATGTGTCTCCCTGATTTGTTTGCTCTGTAGCAGATCGGCCTGACCTTTTTGGTACAAGTTCCCAATATCCCGCAATCCACTCAAAAATTACTCTTAATACGAGCATCTCTGGAATTTCACTTCAGAGTGCATATCAAAACAGTTGTATCCAGAATGCATCAGTTCGACTCGTGTGACTCTGGTATTCCCTTCAGAGCACGTATAAAAACACTTGTATCACAGGGTGTGGTCAGTTTGACTCGAGCAAATAATCTTACTTCAACTGAATTGGAATAACGCAATTAATCGTATGCAGTGACGCAGGCGTTGTGAGCGTGAATGAGAGAGAGACGATTCGACTCTGCTCTTCAATTCCGTATTATCGATAAGGATGCGATTACTCTCGATTGAACATTACGGATTATGTGTGTTATGGATCATGTGGTGATAGTGTGCTTATGATAGGTCCCCAGGATTCAGATCTCATACGCAGAACAATATTATGCAGAATTTCAGGAAGAATCACACACAAACCTTCTGCTTTAATCAATTTTATTTCTAGCTAACTTAAATTTTTGGATAATATGAAAAACTCAATCTCGGGATTTTGGAATTTCAACACAGCGTTAACATGATACCATCACGATTGCGTTGTTTCACCTCGATAGCGGCACCTGTGGTTAATTCCCGACGCGTAACGCAATCGATCGGTTGTTGAGAGAGAGATTAAAAACATGTGAACTATTCTATCAAACCTTAACTTTATAATATGCAAACTCGTATGCTTGAATTGTTACACAACACGGCACTTGGTCTTTGATTCGTATCCAATCCTTAATACATTCTGATATGCGAAGTTATTATGCTTGAAATCGTCAGCACAGTACCACGTTGATGTTCGTTCATTGATTCATAACGATTATGAATTTAAAGCGTTCGACTGTAATACTTCTAATTGCCTTATCAACACCACTCGATGGCCACAATGCTTCGTTACTTGAATTGTCACACAAACAGCATTCGGTCACTGATCATGCGCGGCCCTTAATGCAATTATTGTCACGTTGTTAACAATAGGATGACTGATTATTATGCAACGCTGCTCGTTGACAGGGCACTCCAACCAGTATTATTCTTGGAGGCACAAATATGCGTTTGAATTCGTTATTTCATTCGTGGATACCGGCAAGATTATGCAGAAAGACAAATATTAACGAACGACTCAAGTATTCCTAATCAACTTCTCAACGCGACTCAATGGGTGGCGATGTTTCCTTTTGAGATCCTTATCTCGGGCCAATCTTTTAATTGATTGTGGCCAGACCCCTGACAGGGAACCGGTTGAACCCGCTCTTCAACCCCGCGAGCGGCGCTCCGTGGTGAGGTGCCAAGAATTAATCCTTGTTAATGGGTCAGTTGGTAATTTATGCGGTTAGAAGTACAGCCCCAGCACAATATTACAGAGGAAAATTATGAACACTCTTAAAAACGATGGATTCTTCACTCGGTCGTTGCGATGTTTCCACAATCACGGATGGTTCAATGGCTTGAGGTTTTTTAGGCTTTGTTAATGACCCGTGTGTGTGTGTGTTGAATGGTGTGAGTGGTGAAAGAGTAGGCCAATGTTCGGAATCGATTCTTTGCGTCAAGCAGACGTCTTGTTTGTCGTGTAGTGGGGGGCAGTGTATCATACGTATCAGTTGATTCTTCTTTCAGTAGTTGGTTCGGACTCGACGGACGTTGGTGAACGAGTAGATGCGTTGTTGTAGCTGAGATGACCGTCTGGTAGACGGCGTTAGAAGCACGCCCGCAGCGGCGCGCTGGTGCTCCGTCGTCGGCGGTTGTAGATTGCAGGCTCGCGATTCGCTCGTGGTGGCGCTGGTGCTGGTGGCACGCTGGTGGCGCGCTGTTGGTACGCGCTGGTGCTGATGCTGGTGCTGATGGCACGCTGGTGGCGCGCGCTCCCTCTCCTTGAAGATGCACGAACGCGCCCGTGCTGGTTCGCTGACAGCAGTTTCTCTCCACTGCTGGCTGAGCTGCTGCACGCTCTTGCTTGGCGTTGCTGGCCGCGCTCTTTCTCCTTGAAGATGCGCGAACGCGCCCGTGCTGGTTCGCTGACAGCAGTTTCCTCCACTGCTGGATGAGCTACGCCGGCGCGCGCT